GAGGTATAGGCATACCAAATATTAAAAAAAATATTATTTGGCTAATCAGTTGAGCTTCATTGGGGAAATTATATATAACCCAGAAAGGTTAATTTGATGGAAAATGGAATCATCAGAATTACAGGTGGATATTTGACACCGACAAAATTGAATAAAATTAATGCTAGTTATCTGAATGTCTGTTGGAAATGTGAGAAGGAAATTGGTACATACTTTCATATGTGATGGGAATGTGAAAAAATACAAAGATTTTGGAAACTAATCTTTAAAGAACTAAATGACATATGTGAAAAAGATATAGAATTTAATCCTGAGATAGCTCTGTTATCAATGTTTGAGAATGTGGAATATGATAAGATGACTAGAGAATTGATTACCAATTTATTAACAGCAGCCAGATTAATAACAGCTAGGAATTGGAAATCAAAGTCTGAATTTCGAATGGAAGAATGGTATAATAAAATATGGAACACTGCTATAAATGATAAGTTAACTTGTAACTCAAAGGTTAAGTAAGGAGAGGTGAAAAAGAATAATTTCTATGATATATGGGGCAGATTTCTTGAATATGTGCTAACAAGAGAAAAAGGGAAAGTTCCAAATCAAGAATCAATGCAATGGTGGTGGGGAGCACAGTTGATTTGTATTTTGGTTTATGTATTTCATGCTTATGTTATAGTTTAAGAAGGAAAAAAGAAAAAAGGAATAGGGCTTATTTTCTGGGGATTTTTTTTTCCATGTACAACAATCAACGTTTATAAAAATACAGTCATGTATTTCTGGTTGCTGCACAATGGTGGAGGGCGGGGTTTCACTTACCTGGGGCTTATTTTTGGGGTAGGGCTTATATTACAAGCGTCCTGACAAACCATACTAGGGCTTATTTTCAGGTTAGGTCTTATTGGGAAACAGGGTAAAAAGGACTTTTCCCCCTTAAACATTTGTTAATTTCTTGCCACAGCCATTATATTGTGGGAGTAACTGTAGCTTGTTCCTACCACTGTTTGCAAGTAAATATCTACAAGGTTCTGGTAGACTCTCCTGTAGCCTTCTAGATGTGGAGGGCCAAGTTCTCTGTATAATCAACACTAGAGTTTAAATGTCAATCAAAATCCATATTGATAAATCTGGAACTCTAATGGCTATACTTAAAATGATTCATGTGAAATGGCTCCAGTGTTGATAAATCCAGTTTGAATTATTTACATGATCAAGAAACACAGTTAGGAATTATTAGGAGTTATAACTGGTCAGATGTGCAAGGAAAAGTATGACCCAAAGATGCTGATCACGTATCACACACCATAGGTGAGTCAGGCTACATAAGCCATCTCACATCATGTTTGGTAGAATTCCAGGAAAGAAGGAAATCAGCACTCAGACTGCATTATGCTACAGTGATCATACTATAACTTCATGTCACTTCTCCTACTCGCCCCAACACCTGCCAGAAACATTGTTACTAAATTCCTCCTGAAACATATGAGAAAAAGTGTCTCCAGAATTATTGCTTTCTTATAGTATTTTTAAATAGGAGTCTTCCCTATCACCCAAATGAAACCATACTTCATGAGAAATGTTGCAAAGCAGGTGAAGGAGGAAAAATTAAAAGGGGAGAGAAGAGATTTAATTAATCTATGATTTGTATGACAGAAACTGATGAAAATGGTAAGTCCTTCTCTTTGAATAAGACGGAAGAAGGGCTTTCGGCTCCTGCAAAGAGAGAAAGTGGGTTTGATCTGCATTCTAGGAGAACACGGGGAAAAACGACTGACGAGAAGCAATCCACTTTCCGATTGAGAGCTATTAACAGTAATTGAGACGCACCACAGAGGAAGGAGTAGCAGTTCTGATAGAATTGGACAGGGAGGATTGAACGGCTTGGAGCCCTTTACTGCTGTGCTGTCGGCGTTCACAATCCGCGGGCACTGATGACTCGCCACTGCCGGTACTGTACAGTACTTTGTCTACAGATTAGAAGTGTTTCTCCCAGACGACACACGGGGGGGGAAGGGGGTGCGCCTCTTATGTGATCACTCCCCCGGAGCCAGGTCACTCCCGTTTGTTTTGCTAAATTAAAGAGTTTTAAAACAAGCCCCTCTTATTTAGATGATGCACCCTTCCCCTCCTCCATTTCTCTGTTTTTTTTTCCGGTGTTGATCTTGAGGACAGGCTGTCTCGTGGGAAAAGCGGCTTCCCTGCGCAAAAGTGTGTACAGTGTGTGTGTGTGTGTGTCTTAGGAAGGGCCCTTTTCAGGCACCCGCGGTTCTGGAGCTCAGTTCGCTGGGGAACGAGCAACACCTCCGGCGCCTCCAGGCTGCGCGACGTAGGGCAGGTCGCGACCCCCCCCTCCCCCGAGATCGCGTTTTTCGGGTTCGCGGCGCTGGGCGTCGTGGTTGGGCTCCTCTGCCTCTCCCTGCCCCCCCC